TATATATATATATATATGTATATATATATATGTATATATATATATGTATATATATATATATATATATATATATGCACTGCATATTGCAGATGTCTAATTAGCATTATTAACCTTTAGTGAATGGGACTGACAACATCAGGGGAGAGACAGCTCCTCGGTGCAGTTCTCCTCTCCATTGTGCCGGGGGATTTTTAATTGGCCGGGAAGGTTTGAGGCGACAGAGACGAGAGACGGTTAGTAATACACAAATGACAGACTGACAGATCTGCAGACAGACGGCCTTCACTCTAGTGGAAAACATGCAAATGTCCCACTGTGAAGTGTGTTGTGTCCCTTTTTAGCTTTGTGTGAAATTCGAATGTGTTTTTGGTCCATTTGTGTTTGCATGCGTGTACAGTATCCATGTGAATACGACGTTGCAAAGAGACATCAGTCAGTGGCAGTATCATTAAACCCTAACCCCCAAATCTGTATCGGTAGATAAATGATTTATCTGCCTCTGTCCGTTGCTTCTGCTCGTTAATGCCTTCACCTAGCGTTGTCTGCAAATGCATCTGCAGCACAGCAGATATTTGTGCACACATTGTCTTAGCTTAAATTTAGTATGTTGCATCCATGCAAACACCTCGCCCAGCATATGCGTTTACTTGTGGATGACATATGGCTGCTGTTATGCATGCATTGTGTCATGCGTAAATTGGTGTTAATTTTCCGACTCTGCAGCCATGATATGTGCATTGGAGTGTGCGCGGGAAGTGATCCTACCGTAGAGCGTCTGTCAAAATCTGTTCTTCCCGCATGCATGAGTTGAGTGGACGCTCTGGAATCATAAGCTGACGGTGTGTGTGAATATACGTTCGGAACCATACTTTTCAAGACTTGTGTAAACTATTAAATCGGGTAACATTTCACATTGTCTGTTGCAAGTGTGGCGGAAAAAAAAGCTACGCAACCGGTCGTGGAGTATCTTATGCAATTATCTTCCTTCTAGGCTACGTGCCAGAACATGCAATTACACAGCACCGTGGCATACACCCATACCCAACACACTCACCTCGGGGTGACCTATATTTTCTCAGAAAACAGTGGATAAATGCCGGTATAATCAATAATTCACATGAAAGGTTCCTTGGAGGAATGCCAAGGAACTACAGAGTGGCATCATCTCCGCTTTGTTGGGATTAATATCGCAGCCCGCTGATGCTCTGCCGCGCGGCAACGTGAGAGCGGCCGAGACAAAGAGTGTCAAGTCCACAGGCATGACGTGGGATCCAGTTCTGCCGAAACCGGACACCCTCGCTCCGACCAGCACTCGGTAGTTTAGTGCTGAACAACAGAGAGCAGTTGTCCAGTTGATTGAGGTCATTCTTCTTCTTCTGTCGTGAAATGTTGTTGTAGAATTAACAGCGTTTTTTTTTTTTTTTTTTAAAGGAAACGACTGCAGAGTATTTTGTCTATTCACCGTTCAGAAGTTGTATTTTCTGTGTTCTTCTTCTCAGAGGTGTGAATGATAGAGCTCCTAACACCATGGATATGGACACGCAGCCACAAGGACAGCAAGCAGCCGTTCCAGTCTTTCAACCCCAGGTAGACTCCACACACAGACAGCTAACTGGGGGTTGTGAAGTAGGCTGACGTATTGTTGGCTGCGTACAATGTATTTCGGCATTCCTTCTTATGTTCAGCCTTAAACAGTCAACCTCTGGTTGTTTTGGGCCACTGTGAGCAACGCTGCAAATCGATGAGCGTGTCTCCTGTATGGCAGTATTGGATTCACTGGGTTGTTGCATTAATGTGAGGAAGTATCTGCATATTTTATTCACAATCGGGTCAACTTATTTACACATTTTCTCAATTTTTAAAGAAATGCAGTTGATTATGACTGATATGAAATTGCAAACACCATGATAAAAGCTTGTATTCCCCGTCACTAAGGATTTCTATTTCATGGGTCATTGTATCATTCAGTGAAATAGTTTCCCTCTAAATTTATTGACACGGTGAAAATCTCTTGACGATTAAAAATGATACGATCCACTCATCCATTCATTGCAAGCATAGTATCCCACCTCCTTCACATTTTGAACTGTAAATATTCTGTGTTACCCTTTTTTAAATTTTATTTCCCTGCGTCAATCAAGCTGTGCGTTACAGTCTGAGCATCCTCCAGATCGCTGTGTGTGTGTGTGTGTGTGTGTGTGTGTGTGTGTGTGTGTGTGTGTGTGTGTGTGTGTGTGTGTGTGTGATCGACAGCAGTGGATGAATGTTGAGTTGTTCCTATTGATCAGAGATCTGGAGGCTGGCAGAGCCCGGCCTCCCTGCATGCCTCTCTTGGTTCGATACAACTCAGGTTTGCTCTGTGCAGATCTGGTCACTGTTGGATTTTAATACCGCTCTCCAACATCAGGTCCATTGATTTCTTTCCAGAAGGATGTTTCTGCCTCCATATCTATTGAATATGCTTTAAACAAAGAGGATCATCCATATGCCCTAGAGTACCCCTTCTTTTTTTTTTTCATTGGGAGAAAGAAACAACACTAAAAATAGGTCTGTACGCTCAGTTGTTGTTTTTCTTGCATATGCAAGGGCACTGCAACATTAACACTGGAATTGCCAAGGGGGTTAATTTATTCTAAGATTTGTAATTGCAAAATTAAGGATAATTGGGTTGCACACAGAAGAAAGTCAGATAAAAGCTCTAATGATTAATTTCACTTAGGCAACACCCCCCCCACGCATATACACACGCACACACACACACACACACACACACACACACAGACACTAGATCTTCCACTGATCTCGCAACAGTTGATTGTGTGTTATTGTTCAGGCTTAATGCTTTCGCTCTCTTTTTTCTTTCAGTCTATTTCCAGCAGTTTACATCAGTGTTAATTCCAGGCCCACTTTTTGTGCTTAGGTTACTGCTAACACAGTGAACTTTCTGTGTTGCGTCATGTTTTCTCACTCTCACAGAAGACATCTGAACTGATTTCACATTTAGTGGGAGGTGGAGAGAGAGAGTCAGTGAGAGTATGCAGATGACTGTATAAGCAGCATCCAGATGGGTGTCTTTCAACAAGTCCCGTATCTGTTTCACGCTTTCCCAAGGTTCAGTCTGCTCGGCAGCACAGAGGGGGGGAAAAAAAAACCCCACCAGCCTCCTCCTGAAGAAATCTGAATTGTATATGTGATGAAGGATATTCTGTATCGCTTGCAATATCATTTCTCTTGGTCCCGGAGGTATGATGCATATGCATTAGGTAAACGAGATGAGCTGGTAAGATGTGCATTTTTAATGGTGCATTTGCTCTTTGAGTGAGTGGGAGGGTTGGTGAGGAGGCCCCCCCCTCAGATCACATTTTGATCGTCACTGCAGAGCCTGACAGACACGGATCCGTCTGTGAGTGCCGAGACAAGGCGGTGCGGTTGTGGAGAGCAGATTGGGAGGAGAAGAACGAAAATCACCTTTGGGGTGAATCCTGCCGGTCGGCTGAAGATGAATATTGCATGGTGCCGTGCTCAAGGGGGGGGGGGGCAGGGCAGAGGACTGGTTGGTTTGGCAGTGGGCCCCCCCTGCCTGTCTCTCCTTGTATTCCTCCTTGTCTCTCTTGTGGACTACGTTCACAGCAGTCCCACAGATTTCCTCTACTAGGCTCCTCACGATTCGATTCAGAGGGCTACGATGCGATTATAGAACGATTATCGATTCTTCTTGATGCATCAACATTTTTATATACAAGGTTTTTCTTTTCTCACTGACTATCTGCGTATTTGTAATGATCCATAATTAAGAAACAAATACATTTACTTTTATCTTTTATTAATTAAATATTAGTAACAAATAGAAGAGATGTGTCAATTGGAGGGTTACATTTTCAAACACTGCAAAGAATGAATGAAATTGGGCCTGTAGCAGCATCCTCGTAGTACAAACACGTAATTCAGCATGTTCTGAGTCATGTGACACGCTGCTCGTATTCACTGATAAATTCATATCGACTTCTCTTCAAACAAATCCCCCCGGTCATAGGCAATGAGCATTTAGCTCTTGTACAGAAATAACGCTTTCTGGAACATGTGGTTAAACTATACGTACAGTGATAAAGTGCGTGGTGACACATGATTCTGTGTGAAAGGATGTCCACGTGCAGCGTGTTTCTACCATCACGACCGCTTTCCTCAGGGAGTCCATAACTTTAGCTTTGGTTTGGTTGTAGAGTATCACTGCGTCCGTAAAAACCTCGAGAGGAACGTTGTATCTCGGTTCCAAAGTGTGCAACAAAGCACAAAAGCTCTGATTCTGAATGACTAAGTGTGAATCTACTTCGTCATTTGCTTCGCCCTTTCCAATTTTGGAGGAAGAAGAAGAGGTGGAATGCTTCTCAACGTTAGCTTGCTGGGATGCCAGTATTTTTCTACTGTTGGCTAATCTAAGTTTCCCCGTCCACACCAAAATGCAGAGCGACAGCCTCATTCTGGAATCATTTGTTTTGTAAAGCTCAGTTTGTGTTTAAAATGCTGGCTCAGTGTGCCAACACGGAGAGATCCATTTGTGAATTTAGCCGGCTTAGTGTGGACGCGCCCTGAGTTTCTCTCTCTCGGTTACTGCATCCCTCCCAGTCTCTCTCCATGGGAGACAGCACCTCTCTGCCGCCGCTGGCCTTCCTGTGGCAGCCGTTGGTGCTGCTGGGCTGTCACATCACACCCTCGCCCCTCTGCTGCTTGTCTCTCCCCCCCTCTCACTCTCTCGCTCTCTCTCCCTCTCCCTGTCTTCCGCATTCCTTCTTCCACTCTCCATGTGTCTTGTCAGTTGTGTTTGGCAATGGTGTCATTATTGGGCAGCCCGTATCACACTTCCTTCGATGAGCTGTCTGTCTGCTCTCCTCTTCTTTCTCTCTCTCTCTCTCTCTCTCTCTCTCTCTCTCTCTCTCTCTCTTTCAATCCCCCTGCTAGTGAGTAGCCCATGGCGGTTGTGTGTCACCTTTATACCCTAGACACACTGTCCCTCAGACATTACCCATAATGCCTTGCATGGCTGCCACTTATCTCCATCCCCTGCAGCTTGTCCCCCATCACCAACCAGAATGATGTGAGTGAAAAGAGTAAGCACACCACAGAAATGTAAGTCAAGAAAACATGAAGAAAGTCTGTATTTAATAAGAGAATGTTAATATCAAATGACCTAACATTAACTTTGCAGAGGCCGATATTTATAGTCCTGTAGGTGGTGATCATTTCTGGCATTTGACATGTGACCCGGTATTGTAAATGACGAAATAGTATATTGTCCAGTAGTAGAGGATTTGTGTTCCTTTTTTGGAGTTGTGCCTTGAGCATTGATATGAGATGAGTTTTGTGATGGATATATTAAAAAAAAAAAGCAATTAATTGATTTAAGGTAAATATGCCAAAGACTGAATCAAGTACGTACCCTTGGCAGCATTGGCTTTACCCATTCAGATAAACAAGAACTGTTTTAGTGACAGGTCCACTCGGCAACCCTTCATCTTTGGGTTATCTCGACCATCGTAGTTCACCTAAACACCAACAATCGATTCCTACAAGCCGGTTTGTTCAGACACTGACTCCTGCGTCACTCAGGGTCATTCCTCTGTGACTTCCCCCCGTGTGTGTGTGTGTGTGTGTGTGTGTGTGTGTGTGTGTGTGTGTGTTCGTTCGTCGGGCCCTTGTGTTTCAGCTGGGAGCTCCTGATTGTGTGACACCCGTGTGCGGCAGATGAGACGGCCTGTCACTCAGCCTTGGCCTGGCTGCCCTTTGAAGGCCAGGCCAGGGGGCGAAGAGGTGCCGCAAATGGCCTGTGAAGTTTACATACACTGCCCACTGCTAAACAGATTAGCTCTAATGAAGTGTCTAATGCCGGGGCCGCCGGCTGACATAATCCTGCCTGGCAGCCCGGCCCCTTGGCTGCCAAAAAAGCCGCCCTCCCTCCAGCCCTGTCTTCCGCCCTCGCACGGCCTCTGCTGCCACCCAGGGCGACTCCACACAGGGAGGTGCCCACTGTTAATCACGCCGGACAGTGTGCGATCTGACATGCAAATGTAGGTCATTGCATATGTAAATGTGTGATTAGGGGGCTGGCATGCCAGGACACATTAGCAAGACTGTGCTCTCAGCAGGCGGTTGTCACAGCGCTTTAGAGGCTCATGCTAACATTTGTCAAGCTACCACGCAGCGAATGAAAGCAATGCCCTCTTGTCCTCTCTGCCCCCATCTCTCTCCTCTCGCTCTCCCGCTCTGAATCTATACCATTCAAACTGTCCTACCTCGCACAAATGCATCAGTCACCATTATGACATATCATTGCGCAATATGGCGAATCTTTGTGTAGGTTTTTCATTGTGCCTCTCTTCTATGTAAGTTTATTTTGTATGTAAAGTCCACACTGGAACAATATGTAACTATTGTTAAAACATTCATTGTTTTAGTTTTTTTTAGACCTGTGGGTTGCGGAGAAGCGTGTCATGCTCTCTGTCACAGTTACTCTCACACATCTTTGGATGACGGTGGTGGTGTCATGCTGAAAAGTGCACACACCTCGACGGTGTTAAGTGTTAATTGAACAGGGCATCTAATTGGCTCACGCCTCTTCCTTTGGCTGTCATCTTTAAACTTTAAAAGCCCCAGCCTTGTAGCTTTTATTGTGCTTTCCTTCACTCTCATTGTGTGTGTGTGTGTGTGTGTGTGTGTGTGTGTGTGTGTGTGTGTGTGT